AGAAACTCGGGTGAAGCCCAGCATGTGATTGCAATTCGTGATCTCTGTTGTGCTCACATTATCCCAGTAAGATGATGGCATTTCAGACTGGTTATGAAAAGATGCCATTAAATGCCATTTTTACAGTTCTGACATTTGTGATTTGAGCTGTGGAGTTGGTGTTTGCCCCCAGGATGGTCCCCAGTGGGCTGGCTTGTCCCTGGCCATGTGCCCTGTGCAGCGTGAGCTCGCGCTGAGCTCTGGGCACACGGAGCTGTGCCACATCGGGCACAAATTCTGGGCTTTTACAGAATAAAAGACTCCTAGGCTGTATCTTAGTGTTATCCCAAAGGGGCTCCCAGATGCTCTCAGTGCTCCTGCCAAGCTCCTGCCAGGGTCCAGCCAGTTTGGTGCATTTCCTTACCAGGGTTACTGACAACTTCAATTACTGGTGAACCTGAAAATAAATTATGTCAATACATTGTATAGAGTACATGGACATTTCAAAATTTAAGAAAGTGTAAATGCTGAACTTGTCCAAGTCTGGCTGGAGGAGTGGCAAGGAGAGGAACCACCAGAAGGGAGTTCACTGGTGTCCAGTGCCTGAGCCCATGGATCAGCTGATAAAATCCAACCTGGAGGAGGGGTGGTGGCAGTAAACAGCTTTACCCAATCCATCACAGGCCTGGCACAGCTCCAGAGCATAACTAAGGATATTCTCTGAGGTCACAACAAGGAGCCTTAGGTTTAAAAAATAACAAGTGGAATCTTTCTAATTATGGGATCTGTTGATATCAGATCAAACCACATTAAAAAGTTGGGGCAAAACTGCTGAGGCAGCATCAGCTGCGGGCATTAATTGTGCTCCTAATGCAGGGGTGACACTTCCTGCTGGGAAAAGCGGCCTGGTGTGCCCAGGGCTGGGCAGGGGGCTCGGGGACATGTCCCCAGGGAGCAGAACATGGAGGGGAAATCATCTCCAGGGGCTGGGCAGGGGGGAGCTGCAGCTCTGAGGAGCTGAGAGAGGAGATGGGGGGACAGGCAGTGACACAGGGGGGGTTGTCCCTGCCATCCTGTCACCCTGGGCTCCTGCCTTGGCCCCAGCACATTCCTTTCTGGGCTCCTGCAAGAGCAAATCCAGAATTAAAACCCAGCATTTTTAATTCCTCCTTTCTCCCCCACCGTTTCCTTTTTTACCCTTTTTGGCTCGCAGGCAGCGTTTCCCCAGCTGAGCCGCACGTGTTCCCACCCCAAACAAACAGCGCTGGCCTGCGAGCCTCAAACACAGCAATTACTAAAAATAATTTTAAAAAAATCCACCCGGCCCAACCCAACCCTTGGCAAGTCCAAGGGAAGCCGAGGGATGTGGCTCTCTCACCCTCCCCTCCCGCAGCCCCTCTGTGGGGCAGGGACAGGCTGGGGGTCCCCCCTGGGGTCCTGGGGGGCTCCTGCTGGCCCTGGCCAGGGCTCTCTGCCCCAGGCTGCTGCATTTGCTGAGCATAATGGGGCTGAAACAGCTCAAAGCTCCAGGGCTAAATATAACCCCGTTGCTGGGGAAATAAATAATAAACAGCAGCACGATGGGGATGGCGCGGAGTCATCGCTTCTGCAGCGCTCCAGGTGCCACACACGGCAGCAAAACTCAACCAAAACTGCACAGAAACAACGTTGTGGCACTGAACTAAAAGCCCAGCCAAACCCAAACTTGGCAAAAAATAACCAGCAGTAAAACAGGGGCAAAAGCAGCACATGCATCTCCCAGAGTCAGAAATATTTCTGATAGATAATGGCTGCAGCAAAATTAATGAGCTTTAGGAAGGAACAAACCATCTCCGGGATCTCTGGGACTGGGAAGGGGAGGGCAGCAGGACCCGGGGCAGACGGGGCTGCTCCATCCCTGGGTGGCACCGAGGTGTCCCCAGGGGCTGTGGCTGGCTGTGGTGACCAGGGTCAGGGCGAGCTGGTTTGCACAGGAGCGGGGCAGCCGTGGGAAAGCTCCTCGCTGGCTGCCAGGACAGTGGGACACGGTGCCATCGGCTGGAGATGGGCACTTACCTGTGTGTGATCGTGGGGAGGGGCTTTGGACAAGGACATGGAGTGCCAGGACACAGGGAATGGCCGCCACTGACCGAGGACAGGGATGGATGGGATATTGGGCAGGAATTGTTCCCTGGCAGGGTGGACAGGCCCTGGCACAGGGTGCCCAGAGCAGCTGGGGCTGCCCCTGGATCCCTGGCAGTGCCCAAGGCCAGGCTGGATGGGGCTGGGAGCAGCCTGGGACAGTGGGAGGTGTCCCTGCCATGGCAGGGGGGCACTGGATGGGATTTAAGCCCTTTCCGGCCCCCTGTGCAGGGAGATGCTCACCCTGGTGGTACCTGCACTGCCAGCCACGTTCCAGCCCTTCTGGAGCTCATCCCTGGAGCCTCTCCCATCACCTGTCCCTCCTGCTCTGCTCATCACTCCCAGGTGCTGCGAAGGAAAGCCCTGAGCACTCTGCAGACATTTGATTATCTGATTGCCCGGGGTAACAGCTGGGCCGGGGGAGCAGCTGTGGGGGGCTCCCCGAGAGATGGGGACACAGCAGGGACACAGAAATGTCCCTGTGGAGCTGGGATTGCTCCAACTCCCCCACACCCCCAGCTCCAGAGCCCGCTCTGCCATCCCCACCTAATCCAAGCCAGGCTGGTCTCCGGGGCACCCGGCTGCCGAGGACTTTTTCCCCTTCCTGTGTGCGTCAGTGAGTTTAGAGCCCAGGTGTGATTTTCTAGACCCTTTTGTCTGAGGTTTAGAAGCAGAATAGGCTTCATTAGCAGAAGGGAGGATTTACAATAAGTAATAGGTAGGTGCTACCTCGTGAGCTGTCAGCATGGTGCTAAATTACCAGCTGAGCCCGTCTGCAAACAATCAGCTCCTCACCCAGAGAACAGAGCTTTAAACAGCTATTTCTTAAAAAAACTTTGCTTTTAATCGTTATTTCCCAAAAGCTAAAAATCAGAATTAGCCCAAATGTACAAACTATAATTGCTTTGAGGTTTCTGGTTCGTTAGGAGCATTGAACCACCACGCACTCACATCTCCATCCTCGGGCTCTGGCTCTGTGCAGGTGAATTCTCCCCTCAGCTACCCCTGATCCACCCCTGGGCTCCACTGGTGTCCACGAGGCTTTGGCCTCTTCTCCAGGCAACCAGGGACAGGACAAGAGCAAATGGCCTCAAGCATCCAAACCAAACCCAGCCCAACGCAAACCAAATCCATCCCAATCCAACCAACACCCAGCACCCAACCCAGCTAATCCATCCACAACCCAACCCCAAACCCAGCCCAACACAAACCAAATCCATCCCAATCCAACACCCAGCACCCAACCCAGCTAATCCATCCACAACCCAACCCCAAACCCAGCCCAACACCAAACCCAGCCCCAGCCCAACCCCAAACCCAGCCCAACACCAAACCTAGCCTAACACCAAACCCAGCCCCAGCCCAACCCCAAACCCAGCCCACCCTAATTTATCCAGCTGCCACCAAACCCAAACCGAACTCACTAGTGGAACATTGGCCATCGATGTGAAACATGGCAGGGCTGCACCAAGAGACTCTTCTGAAGTCAGTTCCAACAGACACCATTGCACCATCTCTTTTTTTTGGTTTAATGCCCACAGTGACCAGCCAGGGGCTGCAGGAGAGGCTCTGCCCATCAGCAGCGTCACCACCCAGCTTTCGTTTCGTTTTGACTGACAGCTTTAATATCAAGCATCAAATGCTGTGTCAGGCTGGTTTAAAAAAAAATATTTCCTATCTTTAATTTCTGTTGGAATAAACCAATGTAATTACTACAGTATTAAAGCTGGCCTAAAATGGGAACATTTAGTGAGCGTTCCAGACAAGTTTTTCTTTTTGGAAAATTTTAATTAAAAAAAATATATTCCACTGGCTCTCCTGGAAGAGCAATAACTTCTGCCTCGGTTTGATTTCCTTTCCTCCAGGAGACATCTTGTAAATACATCTGCGTGGGACTTTTGTTCCCAGAAACTCTCTAGGTAGCACATCCAAAAGCTCCCAAGGGCCTCTGAAAAGGAATTTACTCCAGTCTCAGCAACTGGAGGAGCCGGGGGGGACCCTGCACGGGGAGGTTCTGTGGGGACACGGTGGGAGCGGCGGTGCTGGTGCTCACACAGCATCACTAAGCAGGATCCTGAACAGCCTGCCCCAGACAAAGCCTTTTGGAGCCTCTTGGCCCTCTGCAATTCCCATTCATCCCCAGCGCTGCTCCGCCCCGGCAGCACCCGGCGAGGCTCGGGACAGGACAAACACAAACAGCGCTGGCAGGTGACAGATGACACAGTGAGGGATTTTAAACCCCTTTCCACGAGCCCTCCCCACCTCTCTCCCAGCCCAGGGAGGGGCTCTCGCACACCCCCAGCCCCGGGGCACCGAGCGCAGCCGGGGCTGGAGAAAGCCAAGGCTGGATACAGCCCAACCCCATCTGATGCCAGGGCTGGATAAAGCCTCATCCTTGGCTTCAGGAAAGCCAAGAAATAGCACAAAAGCTGGCTATAAAATCCAAGGATGGAGATGAACCAGCAACGTGCGAGGAAAACACTGGATTTTATCCCTACAAACCTCTCGCCCTCTTCATCCAACTCCTCAGAGCAGAGACCACGAGGCAGTTTGGGGACATCACCCCTGCCCAAACCATACCAGCCACGTGACGAAGGGCCCAGAGTGTTCCCCAGGGGTTATGGAGAGGGTGTGATCCCATGGGAATGAGCTGTGCCACCCACCTTGGAAACAGGAAAAAAATGATCGCCTTTTTCCTCTTTTTTTTTCCCCCAAGACAAAAGCCCAGGAAGTTTAATTACTGTGGACAAAAACATGAAGAGGGCTGAAATTTCAGCTCCCTTCTCTCTAAGTGACACCAGGGACTGAAGGAAGCAGCAGCTCCAGGCCAGGGGGCTGGGGGGTTTGGAGCCTCTTGGTCACCAGCTTCAAAGCTTTTCCAAAAATATCAAATATAAATCTTTTCCTCATAATATTTTAAGATACTCTATTTATACATTAATCCTTTCAAAAATAAAAAGCGACACATAGAGCAATTCAGTCACTCAGAGTCTTTAAAACTGTTACAAAAAAGCCATGACATCCATCCCCAGCGCCACGGGCCGGGGGTTCTCTTGAGATGTTTTTTTCTTATAAAATATGATTCCAGCTCTCAGAATCCCAGCTCTGCAGTCAAACAGGGCTCCTTCTCCCAGCTGCCCCCTTCCAAACGCCCTGGAGCCATGAGGGGTTTGCACACTGGCGCTGCTGGGCCCTCGTGGCGCGTCCAGGGAGGCAGGAGCCGGGCTGGCGCAGTCCAAGGGCTCCTCCCTGGCTCTCCACAGCCCCATCCCGACCAACAGCAGCAGCAAATGCCCCCCAAGGATGGAAATAATTCACCTGGCACAACCAGCACTGCACAGACTTGGCACAGACGAGGCTGCAAGCAAGGGGAGGCCTGAAGAACGAGGCTGGAGAGAGGCAGAGGCAGCTCCAGCAGGGCACACACACCGTGTGCGTGAGCACGGATGTGTCTGTACAGAGGGATTTGGGCAGGGAGGTACCGAACAGCCCAGCAGCAGCACTGAGGTGTGCCTGGGGCTGCAGGGGACGGCAGCACGGGCTGCTCACCTCACACACACCGAGGGCTACCCCACAAAATCAAAACCTTGAAAATAAAAAAGAGCGTGAGGGGTTTTGGTCCAAACCCTCCTCGGTGCAGCGAGCAGGGGCCCGGAGAGCCCAGCCAGCCCCGAGCCCCCCGGGCTCGCTCTCGCCTGCAAGAGTCAGCGCTGCCCAGGGGCACCTCCAGTCCCGGAGCTCAGCCCCTTCCCCTGCCCCAGAGCCCAGGGTGTGCCCTGGCAGCACTGAGCTGGCCTTGGGACAGCCAGGGAAGGCTCTGGGAGCACAGGGCTCTCCTGGGTGGGACCCTGGGCTCCCAGGGAACTGTCCCCCTGCAGGGAGCCCCCCGCCTCGGGCCATTCCCAGTCCACAGCTCGGCCCCTCGGAGCACTTGGCCGTCCCTTGGCTGGTTCTCCATCGCTGGGATGGGGGCTTCAGCACCCCCACCTGGGGCTGGGGGAGTCTCTCCACGTCCCCAGCACCGCTCCCCCGCAGGCAGCAGGGAGGAGAGGCGACGTCTGAGCCACACAAACATCCGGCAGCGGGCACAGGGGGGTCCTCAGCCCGGTCACACAGTGGCAGAGGGCACAGGGGCCTGCAGGACTCCCCATGGATACCATGGAACGCTCAGCAGTGGCACTGTGCACCCCACAGTTATAGGAACTCCACGTAGTTCTCGGGGATCAGTCCTGTCTTGCCGTTGAGGGTCCCTTCCAGCCAGCCGGGCTCCTGGGATGGGTGAACTGCAGAGACAGGGAGACTTCAGCTTGTGTTGATTCTTATGGAAGGAGACTAACAGAGTTAAAGATGGTCCTCAAGGTCCCTTCTGACCCAAACCATTCTGTGAACACACCAAGGGGCTCAGGCAGCTGAAATGCTCTGTCCCTGCCTGCTCCCCTGGGGCTGCTTGGCCTCTCACCAAGTCAATCCCACTGCAGGACCGAGCGAGCTGCAGGCTCCAAATACTCCCTGGGGCTGCTGGGCAGAGGGAAGTGAAGTATTTGGGATAAAAACAGGGGCTCAAAACTTCCTCTGGATTTGAGCTAAGATCTCTTGGAAGCTGGAGAGAATGTGGTTAACTCCGGCACATGGTAACTCTGCACATCCCGGCTCGGCCTGGGCCCAGGCTGGGAGGGAAATTGCGTTAGGGAACAATCCCAGCGGGAAAACAAACCCTGCAACCTGACTGTGTGCAACCAGAAACCTGATCAGTCCTCAAAAGCCTTTTCTTTATTCAATCAACCTCCAAAAATTTGCTGATTTTGCAGGAGCCAGGCCAGGGTTACGCCTGCAGGCAGAAGAATATCTCCCCCCTCCCACAATAATGGTGGGAAGCCGCTTTTCCAGAGCTCCTGGAGCTCCCTGGGACTCTGCAGCTCTGGCCTCGCTGCCTTGCTCCATGTCTGGGGTCGGCTGCAAGAGGCACCAGGGCAACTGGAGCTCCCAAAGTGCCACTGCTGCTGTGGGAGCAGCCCCAAACCTGGATCAAGCTGCTGCTCAGCCACCTGCAGCCTGACAGAAGCTCAGACTAGAACCTGGCTCCAAGCATTGCCAAGATCCCTTTGCCTTCTCTGGGCTGTGTAAAGCCCTGTGATGGCAGCGGGGCTCCCACCAAGCCAGGCTGGTTCCACCTCCCGTCCTCCAGCCAGCCGAGTGACCGGAACACGCTGTGTGCTTTTTCCCTTGAACGATCCATTGATTTTTATCAGCAAACATAATGTATTTAATTCAAACTTGTTCCCCTCCTAGCTGCTCTGATTCCCACGGGCCCTCAGAGGGGAGACCATGTTTATTTATAAGATGACTACAGAGCTGCTTGGGAGGATTGTCTTTAATTCACACATATTCATCCCCCTCCCCTTGCTGCTGTATTCGCCTCTATATCCCAGTGCCTGTGGCAGCAGCTTCCCAAATGACAATGCTTAGCATTTAAAAGCCAAGAATGACTTGGAAAGTAGTAAAAAGTCTTTTCCTGACGCTGGGATTATAACTAAGCCAGAGCTGCTCAGTCCCACAGGGCACAAAGTCTCGGAGCAGGAAACACCAGATCCGTGTTCATTAGCGTGGTCTCTGAGCAAAGCCCACCTGCCCCAGCAGGAAGCACTCGTGGCTTTCCCAGCTCCTGCACGAAACCTGACAGCAGCCACCCGGATCTGATACCCGGATCCCAATCTCCCCTTGGCAGAATCCCCTGGGAAAGGCCGTGTTTGGCAAACTCTGGGGAGCCCAGGGCCCAAGGGGAGCCCCTGTCACCCTGAAAACTCAGCTTCTGAGCTCGCTGACATAGTTTTCTAAGACTTTCCCAGGACAGTAACTATAAACACAGAGATAGGCATACATTCCTTCTGTTACACATCTTGTGATGGACATCTCTCATGGCCAGTGCAGTGGGAAAGCCTTATCCTGACCATCCAACCCCTGGCTGTGGTCAGAAACCTACAAATCCTGGGAGGAAAAATAAACTTTCTCTTCCTTTCACCACACCTCCAGCTGTGTCTGTGTGATCTGTTCAGCAGCAGCAGCAATCCCCAGCACTCACCGTTGTCGAACACGGTGCCGGCCGTGAAGGAGAGCTCGGAGTCGTGCTCGGCCTTGCAGGCGTAGAGCGCGCGGGCCTTGCGCAGAGGGGAGCTGCAAGAGAGGCCACGTGTGGGCACAGGGCCACCAGCACAGGCACAAGGCTCCAGGGGACCACAGCACAAATCCCAGCCTGAGCCCCGCTGGCACCGCCTGGACTGGCCCGCACCGGTGCCCAAACAGCACCAGCCCAAGCTGGGGGTTCCCGGGACAGCTCCAGGCTCTAGGATGGAGCTGGAATGTTCTGTATCTGAGGGGCCATCACTGGCCAGAGGCTGGCACGGAGCAAAGGTGGCAGCAGGTGCTGGCAGTGACCCACTGCCACCGGCCCCGCTCTGCCAAACCCATCCTAGTGCAGCTGCAACCACGAGGAGAATTTCACAAGGCAGAATTAGCACTTGGGGAAGGTTATTTCAAAACAGAAAGCCAAGCAAATCAGTGAAGAATTTGCTGCACTTCCTTAGAGCCTGTACCTGAAGGTAAAAAAGATTTAACAGCCATTAGATTTTGCTGGAAGTGTCAGCCCACACTGCAGGGGAGGGAATCGGAGCAGGGAGAACCAGGAACGGAGCAAACTGCTGGCAGAGAGAGGAAAAAGAGGGACCTCAGGGCTCCTCAGGCACAGCACAGGCACACAGAGCTGTCCCTGCACCTGGAATCCCCAGCCATCCTTCCCAGCTTTGGGCTGGAGCAGGGCTGGTGACACTGCCAGGCTGCGGTGACAGTGACAGAGCCAGCCCAGCCAGGCCCTGCTCGAGCAGCCCCCACATCCAGCACTGCTGCTCAGCTTGACACGGCCCAGGGAAGTGATGAAGTGCCCCAGGAGCTGCTGGGGTGCAGAATGAGGTGCCACCATTCTCAGATCAGTGGTTTTATCAATTTTATCTTTCCTTGGACTCGAAGTTCCCCCGAGTTCCTCAGACGAGCCCAGGGAAGCAGCAACGCTTCATGGCAAGAGCAGTTCCCCTCCAAACCAAACTCCAAGCCCAGGAGCTGGGAATGGTTTTGGCTTTGCTGCAAAGAGAGCCCAAAATGGAGATCTCTCCTCTCCAAATTCCAGCTGCCTGACACGAGCAGCTCCCAAACACTTAAAAACCAGAATGGGCAAACAATCCTCCCAGCTCCAGAGGGTCCTTCACTGCCGGGGAGGCACCACTCACGCACTTGAGACCATCAGATGAAAAACAAAAGGTATTTTCAGGCACACAGGGACCCCTGGGCAGCGCCTGCTCTGGTGCGGGCACCCCAGGGCACAGGGGGACTCTGGGGCTGGCACACAGCTCAGCCTGCCCCACTGCTCCGGGAGCTGCTGGGAATCCTGCGCTGCTTCGTCTGCAGCTCCCAGGAACGACGTGCTCCGGCAATGCCCAAGGACCTTCAGCCTGGGATCAACAGCAGCCTGTGCCACCCCGCGTCCATCACCCTCCTGGGATCCCAGATGATTTCTGTGGCCAGAAAAGCAGGGATGGCAGAGCTTTCCAAAGGCTCTTTACTCCTGGCAGTACACCTCTTACCTGTGGCAGAGCAGAGCAAAGCCAGCGCGGGGCTGAGCTGAGCCCGGCAGGGACACCGAGCACAGCTCCTGCTCCCTGACCCAGGGGCTCGGGGTGTTCCAAGGGGCTCTCCTGGGGCAGGAGGGCTTGAAAGCTCCCCTCTTGCTGAATGCAGACAGCTGTGCTGGGAGGGTTCGAGCAGGATGCCAAGGGAAAGGGAAGTGAAGTGGGGGAAACCGAGGAAATTAAACAGAAATAGCAAAAGCAACAAAAAGCCAAGCGAATTGTGCAACAGACCTGATGGGGGATGAGTCGCTGGACGTAGAGGAGGTGGGCATAGGACTTGATGGCGCAGAGAACATGGGCCAGGACGGTGAGAGGGGTGACGTTGGGCTTGGATTCTGAGGGCTGCAAGACATAACCAGAGACCTTATCAACGTGCAACCACAGCAACAAACGGCAACCGAGAGACACAGAGACGACAGCCGACGATAGCGAGTGCCTTGGGAATATTCCGAGCATGAGACAGCCACGAAATGAAGAGCCAAGACCTTGGGAAGTGTTTCAAGGCTGGATCTGCATTTGTCTGGACAACAAGAGCTGGATCTTCCAGTTGACCCCCACTCCATTGCCCCGTCCATCGCACCTGGCACCCCGCATGCCGAGGCTCTGTGCTGGCCACTTACCTGCCTCGTGCTCCCCCAGAGCTCCCAGAAACAGCTGCTGCCATTTCTGGATGTTAAAGATGCCTGAGAGCAGCCTCCACCGCCTCTGTCTGTCACTTGAGGTGCTCATACATGCCGTGTACAAAAGTGTCATTGATTTTGTTATCCATGCTTTACATCCCTTTTTCCCCTTGTGCTGACTCCTGAAGCCACAGCTGTCAACGGGAGCTGAGTCAAGCTACTGAACTGGTAAATGCACAGAAGTTTCTGGGTCCTTCCAAACTGTTTGATTCAGGTCATTCTCAGTTTCAGCTAAAAGCAATTATTGTACTAAAACATCAGTTTCATTCATTTACTGCTTCTCTGCTTAGCAACTCACTGGTATTCCCTATCCAATTCAGATTAGAAACTCCATCCCTGATAAAACACCAGAAATCCCTCTCCACATTGCAAATGCCTCTGTAAAAACAAGAAGTTTTGTAAAAGCATCGTGACTTGTGTTTTCTCCTTGAGAGAGGGACAGTACCTCTGATGACAGAGTGATGGGTGGAGACAGGGCACAACCCCCAGGATGTCCTTACCCCTCAGCTGGGGCCTTCTGGGGTAGAGGGAAGGGATTCAGGGAATGGTGGCTCCACAACAAGTGGAAAACCTCAGCCCTACAAGAGTTCAGACCAACATTTAACCTTCTCCAATGTCCTCTGGTGCCACCACAGGGGGATATTTATGACATGGATGCTTTCCCCTTGGAAATTGGACCATCTCTGTTCAAGACCAAACCCTTGGCTTGACTCCTTGCAGAAGCTGTGTCACTGGATTCAACAGACACTGATTAATTCCCTCTGGAATTACAGGCAACACCTTTATTATGTCAGAAGATTACACACACAGAGAAATGGGATACAGAAGTGAGTGAAGCATGACTTCACCAGAGGCTGGAAAACGGGGAATGCTGCCAGGTGGGCTATCAACGAGATCCTCAAAATGTTCTGCTAATAATCATCACTATTTAAAAACAATCCTTTAGCATTTCTGTCATCAAAACTGTCCATCTTCTGAAAAATGAGTTTTCCTGTCTTTACCAAACCTGACAGCCATTGGTACTTCCCAGATATTCCATCTATTCCTGCCCCCAAACAGGAGGTGCTTCCAAGGACACCCAAACTGCCAAAATTAACCCTTTAAGCAGCAGTTCTTTCAAAGAGATGGCCTAGCAATTCCCTTCTCCAAGAGGAGCCTGGCCAAGGTGGGACTTGGAGGGGTGATGAGCTGGTGGCCAAAACGTGGCTGAGCCTGTCCTGCTGAGAGTGGCCACCAACAGCCACCAGCCCTCCCACCACTGTGGCTGTGGGTGGCTCGAGGTGCAAGAGGCCATGGCACTGGGTGTGCCACCATGGGATGGCCACTGAGACAGGGCACTGAGTGTGCCACCATGGGATGGCCACTGTGACATGGCACTGGGTGTGCCACCATGGGATGGCCACTGAGTCTGCCACCAACCCAGGTCCTCTCCACTGCACGAAGGAAGGAAAATCCAATGGCACAGGGCTCCAGGACTAGGAATTGCTACTGCACTTTCTGAGATGAAATCATGGCACAAGAACGCGGCTCTCACTGCTCCTCAAGTCGCTCTGTCATCGCTCCACAACTGCGCGCCCGCTCCGCTCGTGACAGCGGGGAATGCAACCACAGGATTCTCCGAGTTACCAGGGAAAAAAGCCTGGAAGAACCAACACTCAGGCCAGCCTCTGCCTAGGAAGTTATCACTAATTTGGAGCAGGATCTTGGTGTCTTTGGATCCTTGGTGCCACAGAAAACACCCCGTGCCCATCAGGTGCTCACAGAGGATGGACACGGTCCTACGGTGACTGAGCTGCTCTGCAAGTCCTTCCAGAACATTTCCTCAAGAAGAGCCCATGGATAGCTCAGGACCCGGCTGAGCTGCTCCCCAGCACTGACAGACCCCAGATGATGAGTGTGAAGGGTTCACCTCCCTCCCATGAAATACAGGTGCTTCTTTTCAAGCTGCTGCTTGAGTATCACCTTCCTGAGCTTATGTGACCGCGAGACCCGAGTCCTGCCTCGCTGGAGATGCCAGTGCACGTGAGGAACAGGCTATCCCGAGGTCTCTGGTGTTTTGGAAAACAGTTTTCTTGTAGGATCCAGTTTGCTTTGCTTCTCACAAAAAGAGCAGAGGTGGTGAGAGGCTGGGGGGAAGTTCTGGCTGCTGCCTGCAGGCAGCAAATGTCAGCTGGATGGGTTTTTTCCTTCTTCTTACTCAGGAGGGCTTTGCGAGGGGCTCTTCCTGTTGGGTGCACAGTAGAAACAAAACAGAGAAAATTGCTAAGAACCAAAACCATCAGAAGCAGGAAACAAAGAAATGCCTCAAATTAGAGTCTTCCAAGGTGAGAATGGACCCTTCCCCAGCAGAAGAACCTGGGGGAACTCCATCAGTGCATAGCCCAAGGCATCCTGAGGCCCTTCCTGCTGGTCTGAGTGCCCCTCGAGCAGTGGCTGTGATCCTGCAGGGAGGGAGCACTGCTGGGCAGGGCAGGGCAGGGCAGGGAGGGCACAGTGCCACAGCACCTGCAGGGACACCTTCACCTTCCACTCCAGCTCCCTCCAGCAATCCCACTCTTCCAGCAAGCACAGTACTTGGAAATGAATTTAGGAGCTAAATCCTCCTCCCTGCTTCCCATGCCGGCCATACACGCTGCCTTTCCCATGCAGATGTTTAGTTTGTTGCACAAACACGTGAAAAAAAGCAATAACTCTTGTTTCAAGACTCTGCAGGAGTTGCTGGAGCTAAAATTTTTTTTTTTGTGATCCCTTCTCCTAACCTGCCTCTTTCATTGCTCTTCCTCCACCCAGGCTGCCTCTGGCTGCTCAGCCGGCTCAGGGCCCCGAGGGATGTGCAGCTCTCAGAGCCCCTCTCAGCAGCTCTCCAGACAACTTCTGCTGCTTTGTTCTCCTGGCCGAGAGGACATCGCTTCCACTTCAAACATGTTTACAACTTGTTTATTTTTGTGGAACTCAGGGCTATTTCTGCCACAGAACATCTCACAGCTATGGATGGGAAGAGCCCACTGGAGCATTCCAGCCCTTTCATGAAATCACCTCAAGAATAAACAACAATATTCCCGTTCTGACATGATCAGTACCTGACTGCAGTAAAATACATCAAGGACCACCCAGTCCTTTGCTCCCTGATCTATTCCTAGCTGCAGAACATAAGGTTCTTCTCAAAAGCAACAAGAAAAAAGAAAATTACAGCTTTATGTAATGCCAGAGCACTTCAGCTCTGCTGAAACAAGGACAAGACTGCAGCTCACCAGCAGCCATGGCTCTGTTGCATAAATGAAATGGGAGGCAGCCTGGCTTTGGGAAGCTCCTGGGGCTCAAGGAGTGCTGCAGGTCCTAGCAAAGCTTGGAGTGATGGATGGGCTCCAGGAAGCCCAGCAGCTCCTGGGCACTGACCTGACCACCAGCTCACAGGGCTCCAGTCTGGCAGGGCTCCTCCTGTGCTTGGTACTTTGAGGCAAGAAAAATGATGTTTAACTCTCTGAAGTGTTACTCTCTCAGGAGTAATGTTGCTGCATGCTCGTTTGGGTGGAAAAAATGACACACTTAAAGGAATAAGCAGCTAAAATGGCCTGTGGTCAGCATCACTTGACCAAACTGGTCCAAAAAAGTCTCCAATTCTTCAGTACAGACCTTCCCCACATCTCCATTTACCAGTTCCCCATCTCCATCAGCACAGATTTCAGGATCTTCATCCCACCAACACGGACGTGTCCCTCTGTAATCCCGATGACACCCAGCACATGTGCTTGTCTTGTCACTTGGCTGCTTGGCTGATTTCCCATGTGTGGGAATATTTCCCTGCTTTAGTCATTTCCTAAACCATCTAAAAGCTTTTCCACTTGAAGAAGAGAGAGCCCAGGATGAGTTCTGGCTGCGGGGAGGAGAGCTGGAGCTGCTGTCCCACGTTCCCAAGCGCAGATGGATGATGCTCGGTGGTGCAGAGGGAGGAGATGACAGAGCTGCTTTGGTACAGAATCCTGGCACGGAGCTCAGAGCCTGCTGCAAGTGCTGGAGAGAGTGAGGGAGCGAGCAGAGAGTCAGCAATGGATGAGTTCTCAGCATGAGCAGGCGCTGCAGGAAGGAAGCTGCAGGACCAGCCTGGTGCCAGCACAGGTGTCCTCCCAGGTGGGCTCCAGGTGATGGGAGCACCGTGACATCTTAACAGGGAACAGCATTTCAGTAACAGCTGCACAACTTGTTCACAACAGAGAATTACCAGTACCACCAGCAAGCTACAGACCCACCAGTGACTGCTCTCACACGGTCCCAGCACTGGGACAGGCAGGGGGAGGTGGGGCAGGGAACGGAGGCAGCCACAGCTCCACACGAACCAGCCTGGACAGGACACAGAGTCACAGAATGGCCTGGGGCTGGAAGGGACCTCAAAGCCCATCCAGTGCCACCCCTGCCATGGCAGGGACACCTCCCACTGTCACAGGTGCACCCAGCCCCAGTGTCCAGCCTGGCCTTGGGCACTGCCAGGGATCCAGGGGCAGCCCCAGCTGCTCTGGGCACCCTGTGCCAGGGCACTGCCCACCCTGCCAGGGAAGGATTTCTTCCCCGTATCTCCACCTTTTGCTCAGCAGCTGCATTTTCTGCTCCATCAATACCTCCCTCCCTCTTCCTCTCTGCCCAAAAGGCTCTCAGCAGACTCAAAAC